CAGTGAGGGCAGCAGTCCACTTAGAGTGAGACTCCTTAGGTATCCATAAAGTCCTATTGGGTTAAGATAATTTTATCTACATGTAAACAAACACATCAGAAAAGATATTTGTATTGAACCGATCTAATATAAAATGGTCTCGAACCAGCAGAAGACAATTATCCCTTGTAAAACCTCTACTTTGTCATTTTAATCACTGAAGACACTAATGTAAGGAAAAGAGAATGAAATTGGCATTACCAAAACTTGCTCTCTACTCACATTTACGGGTCTTTTTATTGTGCTGCTTGCACTAAATTAACTCTCTTTCAATCTTCTTTTCAATATCTAAGTAACTGTCCTATGTGGTAATAACTTTAATTTTCTTGCGATGAAAGAATATGTTCCCATAAAGATTGCTACAAACTTCTGCCCACTACAGATTCGTTACTATACAACTTTTTCCTATAACTTCTAATTCAGTTACAATTTTATTAAATGCTAAGGACTAATTGTGTTTGCTTCACTGCCATGGAGTGTCCTGTTACTTGCTCAGGAAATCATTCAAGTTTGTCTAGACATATTATAGCAAGTCTATGATTTTTTTAAATATAACTGCCAGAAACTCTTATCCCTGAAAGGAGTAAGACTATTCAGCTATTAACTTATTTTAAAAAATAGGCACAATTGACAAATAAAAGTTCTTGTCTCAATATTGCATTTTTTTCATTTACCTAAGGCAACCATGTAACCTTCGAAGTTTTCATTGGATTCCATTTCCCATGTTCCATTGTAATCGGCAGGCATACTGGCTAAGAGCTCAAACCCAAGGACAGATCAAATGCTGAGCCTAGAAGCAAGATCTGCAAAGAGAATGTGTTATAACTCTATCCTTTTTATATCTTCCTTAGAGAAAGTTTATGGTTTTCCAGATAATAAAGTCTGAAAGTCAGAGATATACCCTGACAGGATTTTGCTTCATTAACAAAGTTCAGGAGGACGGCAGACAGGCCAGGTATAGGTTTCTGAAGCAGGAACTAACAGAGAAAGATATTTTACAGTGACTTTTGTAAAGAACAGCAATCTCCTAGAGAGACACCTTTGAAACATGTGCACCACAATGTCAAACAGTGCAACCCAATATGAGTTTTTTTTTCAGTTCACTTCTCCTACATAAAATGAGTCCCTCTAAAGGTCTTGGTCTTGCTTAGGTCATGTGAAGTTGGTGGAAATTTTGGATGTAGAATGAATACAAATTGGGCCATTAAAGGGTAAATTTTTAAAGGAATTTTTAAAGGAAAACATATTTTTAGGTTTTATTTCTCAGCTTCATATTCCAATGTATTATAATGGAGTTCAAAGTGATCCCTGTTTTCTTCCCAAAATATCCCTTTTTAGAGATGTCAAATGTTGACAAATATGTTTCAGGCATAAATTCACTTGAATACATTTCATTTAACTGATTGTAAATGTCACATGGAGCCTCTCAAGCTGTCCTGGGAGTAGCACTGTTTAGCTCATTTTTAAGTCTGTTTCTTTTTCATTAAGGAAGAACTGGAAGTCCTGGCATAGTCCAGGAACTATGTTGTGGTTGGAATAACAGAGACTTGGTAGGGTAATTCACATGACTGGAGCACAATCATTGCTTTGAACTGTTCAGGAAGGACAGGTGGGATAGAAAAGGTGGAGGGGTTGCACAGTATGTAATGGTACGTCTGCACTGAATGCTTATTTTGAAATAAGCTATTTTTGAAGAGAAACTCTGAAATACAGTAAAACTCCAATAGTCTGGCATCCAACTGTTCGGCACTCCCAATACTCCAGCATCAAAATGCCAAGATCTCCTAACCAGCTGATTAAAAAGCCTGCGGCTCAGCACACCTGGCTGTAACCAGATGGAGCACAAGGTTGGGGGAGGGGAGGAGTGGGATCATGTTACAGTATGGAGAAGAGTGTTTTGCTTCAGCGAAGGGGAAACGGGAGGGAAGGGAGAGGGTAGGAGTATCAGGTTACAGCTCAGAGATGCGAAGAGGAAAGGGGAGGGGAGGAGGAGGAGGATCAGGTTACAGCATGGAGGAGAAAGATTCGAAGAGGAAAGGGAAGGGGAGAAGGAGGGAGATTGTGTCCTGGCCAACTGTTAAACCGTGCAGCTGTACCGGGCCTCCTGATTCTCCAGCAAATCTGATAATCCAGCACCACTTAAATCCAAAAGGTGCCAGATTATCGGAAGTCTAGTGTAGCTTATTTTGAAATAGCATGTCTACTCTATAAATGCCCTTTGAAATAACACTGAGTTATTTTGAAATAGAGCATCCACACTGATTGGAGCCTGTATCACATTTTAAAACCCCTGGAAAGACTTCAGGCAGGGCATCAGGACAGCAGTCACTTCCTGGAGCTGCTTCTTGAGGCTATCTGAGGCTTGTGCTTAAGAGACTCGCCATACAGCAGAGGTCTCCAATCTTTATGAAGGGGATGGTTTGATGGGATAACATGATCTTGGCAACTAATTGACCTTTCACTGTCAGTGGTAAATAGGCCAATGGTGGGAAGATAGGAGTTACTATAGAGAACTTTTTCCTGGATGTCTGGCTGGTGAGTCTTGCCCACATGCTCAGGGTTTAGCTGATCGCCATATTTGGGGTCGGGAAGGAATTTTCCTCCAGGGCAGATTGGCAGAGGCCCTGGAGGTTTTTCGCCTTCCTCTGTAGCATGGGGCATGGATCACTTTGCTGGAGGAATTTGCATCTTGGGGTCTTCAAAGTATTTGAAGGCTTCAATATCTGAGATATAGGTGAGAGGATTATTCTAGGAGGGGTGGGTGAGATTTTGTGGCCTGCACTGTGCAGGGGGTCAGACTAGATGATCATAATGGTCCCTTCTGACCTTAAAAGTCTATGAGTCTATGAGAATGCAGAAGGTCCTACCTTCCGTCCTTATGGGGTTGTGCTGCACAGTGGATAGCTATTCCAATGCTTCATAGAATCACAGAACACTAGAACTGGAAGGGCCCTCGCGAGGTCATTGAGTCCAGTCCCCTGCTCTCACAGCAGGACCCAGCACCGTCTAGACCGTCCCTGACAGGTGTCTGTCCAACCTGCTCTTACATATCCCCGGTGACAGAGATTCTACAGCCTCCCTGGGCAATTTATCCCAGTGTTTAACCACCCTGACAGGTAATGTCCAACCTAAACCTCCCTCGCTGCAATTTAAGCTCATTACTTCTGATCTTGGGAGCTAGGATGGGCAGTAAAGAACTGCTTAGGAAGTTTGGATCTACATTATTTATGTGTGAACTGCAAAGCACAATACCAATGGCTTGCACCTCTCTATCTATCCCTCCCTCCCCACACACACTGATCAGAAAAGCATCCTGCCAATGTAGACGCTCTTTTTCCGGAAATACTTATAACGGAAAACTGTTCCATTTTAAGCATTTCCGGAAAAGGGTGCCAGTGTAGACGTAGCCTATGAGTCTATAACCACAAGATCACTTTTTCAATTTAAGTGCACTGTAAGATCTACCTCAAACTCAAATCCCCTTGCCCAGCTTCCTTCCCCCTCTTCTCTGAGGCCCCGCCCCTGCTCCGAGGCCTCACCCTGCTCACTCCATCCCCAAATCTCATTCACTTTCATCATAGGTAGGGAGTTGGGGTGCAGGCTCTGGTCTTGGGCCAAGGGGTTCAGAGTGTGGGAGGGGACACACAGAGTGTAGGGAGGGTTCTGGAGTGGACTAGGGAAGTGTTTCTCCACCTGTGGTATGAGTACCCTCAGGGGGTATGTCTAAACTGCCACCCTAGTTCGAACTAGAGTGACTAATGTATGCATTTGAACTCGCAAATGAAGCCCGGGATTTAAATATCCCAGGCTTCATTTGCATGTTCCCAGGCACCACCATTTTTAAATGCCCCATAGTTTGAACTACCTGCCCGTGGCTACACGCAGCACAGACTAGGTAGTTCGAATTAAAGCTCCTAATTCGAACTACCATTATTCCTCCTGCAAGGAGCTTCCATAATGTGGGGGGAGTGGGGGGGGGGGGGGTACGTCAACGCAACTGAAATTTGGAGAAAACTGAATTTTTGTTTTAAGTTTTACAGAGTTTTTATTTTTGTACTTTTTACACTCAAAAATGTCATCACTCGCCTGGCTATGATTAAGTTGTTTAAACAAATGTGATGCAATGGTAGAAAAAAATGTGTGTGTCTGAAAACTGTAGGTACTGGGGGTACTTATATTTTTTTTTTGAAAAAGGGGCACTTTATAAAAAAATGTTGAGAAACACTGGACTAGGGGATAGGGCATTTGCCTGAGGAGCGCAGGATTGGGGTCTTGAGTCCCTCCCGCCCCACTCTAGGACTGGCTGGACAGCTAACAAAGGGTGCCCCAGGATTGGAGCTGGCTTCTGCATTAGGAAAACAGGATAAGGGATCTGCTGAAAGTGGGGTAGGCTCTCGAGTGACCCAGGGGATAGGGCATTTGTCTGGGGAGGGTAGAGCTCTAGGTTCAAGTCCCACCCTGGGGGGCAGCAAGACAGCTGCCCTAGGGATGCAGCAGCAGTGTTAATGCAGATCTACTCCTGCCCTGGCCCTGCACCGCTCCTGAACACAGCTGGCATGTACAGCAGTGGCTACGTGTGCTGCCCCTCAGCTTTTACTGCAGGTCTTCTTGTGGTCACCTTTGTCTGTTGGCCAGGCAGGGTCTGGAGGCTGGCACAGGAGGTGTGGCATTCATAGCTGCTCCAGCTGTGAAGAAAAGTGAGAAGGGCAGTCATCCCAGGAGACAGGGTGCCTGAAGCCTAGTCCTCATCTCTGAGCTGACACTGAAGGGTCTTGGGTCAGATGAAGGTGATGTGCTTTGAGCAAGCCCATCTGTGGCCTAGACAGCAGGCCCTTTCTTTCAGGGACACAGACATCCTGGGGGAGGGCTCACTGCCCCCCAATCCCAAATCCTGGGGACAAGCAGGCATGGGAAGGTGCCAGCCAGGCCAGGAGCCTGTGGGTGGGAGGAGGGCAGCCTGCGGGTGGGAGGAGGGCAACAGGGTGGCTCGATTTCCCTCCGTGCCATGCACCGTCTGGGTCTGGCAGTGGCGATGTCCCACTGGGAGAGATCTTGTACCCCTATGGGGAGGACATTGGGGAGGTGTGTCTGAGCATCAGATACTGCTTGCTGGGGAGGGTGCTGCTAGAGTTCCCTCCACTTACTCCCCCTTGCCCTCCCATCAGACTCCCATGTCAGGGACCTGTGTTCTCCATCTCACCATGCTTTTCTAGGAGTGGATGCTACCCTGGGAGTGTGGGCATGCCCGTGTACCATGTATGACTAAGCTAATTCGAACTAACGCGTCTAGAACTAAAAACTAGTTCGAATTACCGTTTTGCTAATTCGAACTAGCAAGTCCACATTGAGTGGACCCTGAACAGGGCTTAAGGATGGCCGGAAGCAGTACCGGCAGGGCATCAGAGGAGGACTTAGAGCGTGGAGATGCTGTCTCAGGCTAGCCGAGGGCTGCGCTTAAAGGGTCCCGACCCCCACCCCGGACAGACAGTTCTAAGGGGTGCCCCGCTTGCAAAGCAGTCCTGGCTTGGATTGCCCGGAGTACCCACACTGGGCACATCACACCACTCGGCCATCAGCCCGGCTGCACTTGCCGCAGGCTGCCATCTGGGGAGAGGGGGCAATTGGGGGGCTCTTCCACCCCCAGAAGCCCGCAGAGCCAGCCCAGTCCTCCCCATCGGGGGCTTGTACCCCATTCCTCCCTCACCTCCTTCCACTTACCCTTCCCTAGCCCCCCTTCTTATTGATGTACAAAATAAAGATAACGTTTCTTCCAACATTGACTCTGTCTTTATTGA